AATATTGGCTATTTTCTTCTAAAAATATTCGTTTACACGGAAGTACCAAAAAGCCTGATGAGAAAAAAAAGTAAAGAGGACGAGCACACTTTCGCAGAATTAATTTCAGCTCATCGCCTTTCGCAAGCAAAATGTCAGCTAGCACAAACCAGTTACATTAAACGAATTAAATTGTTCTTGCTTGCCATATAATAAACATCTTATTAACCAAGCTTGGTCGGTCTGTATGGGAGAATCTTGACCTCGGTTGTGCGTACACTGCGTTCGGTCTGTACTCACGACCTCGGTTAAGATTCTCCCATAAAGACCTCCTGCTCGGTTAATAAGAACTAAGTATACCCTCTGTCTCGGGAAAAGAAGATTTAATTAAAGGACTGTTTTAGAAAGCAACAACTAGCCATGATTGTTTGCACCACTTCTTATTCAGAGAGTTCAAAATAAATTCGTGTTTTCTAAATTCCAGCGTCAGCAGCTTGTCATCACAAACAGATTCTATTCCCATGGTAAGTCCTTCTTTCAGTTTGTCTTCCAGTATATAGAATCGAGGAAGAAGTCGTTTTGATGACATTGTGCAATAGAAAAATACTGGCAGCAACAGTTTGGAACATATCTAGGGATAGCTTTTCCAGAAATCAAACGATAACGTCCTCGCGTCATTTGTGTACACCTGCCTCAGTTCCTATCACGTTTATAAAGTTCTTTTAATCGGTTAAATCCTGACTTATTTTCTGTTCTCTTCAAGAGCACTGTTGATCACCAGGAATTAGAATTTCAGTTCACAGAGACAAGTGGCGCTACCAGCATAACCTACGAGATCCCTAATAGTGTTGGAGATTACATGCCGCTTCATCCATCAACAAGAAGCTGGGAGATCAGTCGACAACAAGTCGATATCATTAAAAATATCGGAAAAGGGGCTTTCCCCCAAGTTGCTAAGGCAACAGTCAAGAACATCAATGATAACCAAGAGGTCATAACAGTGGTTGTGAAAATGTTGAAAGGTTATGGAAACTTATCTTTCAAGCTTCTCATTAAAGCCTTATGGGATCCTCAGGTTTTTTCTTTTCATCATTGACGCTAATCGATCAATCCATTTTCGCTATGNCTTCTCATTAAAGCCTTATGGGATCCTCAGGTTTTTTCTTTTCATCATTGACGCTAATCGATCAATCCATCGATCGATAGATTGATTGATCGATTGATTTATCGATTGATTGCTTGATTACTTGATTGAGTGATTGCTTGATTGCTTCAATTTTTCATTTTTTTTTTTTTTTTTCAATTCAGTTTTATTGTTTGCCCCATTGCTTTTACATTTCTCGTTATTACATGGTATTTATTTTGTTGGCAGGAGATCTCAGCAAGTTTTTACAAACTTTTTCTCTACAATTTTTTAATTTTTACTATATACCTATCTAACGGAGAGCTAGCTGATAATAACATGGCATAAAAAATGATAATACTTATTGTAAGCTATTTTATGTAAATAAAATTAAGACAGTCGAGCAATTGGTAGTTGAGTAAGACCAATTTCATTTTCCTCTTGAATATATAGTATGAGTCCGAGTTCTTTACTTTGTCAGGTAGATCATTCCATATTTTGGTACCTATGGCTTTTGACGAGAATTTCCCGTGATTAGTTCTGTGATAATCCATGTGTAGCAGATCTTGTGTTATAATGGTGTAGATCTCTATTTTGTGAAAAGTAATTGTAAAATGTTTTTGGTAATCCATTTGTTCTTTGTGAGTACATAAAGAAACTAACCAAAAAGCGTTTAATTTAAATATATCTAGTGTTCTTAGTTGCTTAAATAGGGGTTTCGTAGATTGTCGATATTTTGAGAAAGTCATAAGGCGAATTTTTTTTTTATGTATCTTATGCACGCTTTTCAATCTAGTGGAATAATTGCTTCCCCATACAATACTGCAATACGCTAAATATGGGTATCTCATTATAAAGTAAATACTTCTTAGCGTATTGATGTCTACGTAATGTCGCATTTTCGCTATGATACCTGATAACTGATATGTTATTAGTTATGTAATTGATATGAGTCTTCCATGTCATTTGTTCATCAATTCTAATTTCAAGAAATTTTGTCCATTTAACCTGCTCAATTTTTTTTATTGTTGATTGTGATTGTTACTGGCGTGTTAATTTTTTTCCTTCTAGTTTTAAATGTCATAAAATTTGCTTTACTAACATTCAGCGTTGGTTTGTTGTGAGCTAATCATTGTGATACTTTTGTGATCTCTTGATTGGCTATTTGTAGCATTTGACTAAGGTTTTTGTGTTGGAAGATTAAATATGTCTCGTCTGCAAATAGCATATATTGAAATAAATCTGAGTTTCTGAAAATATCATTTAGATAATAATAGTATTGGTCCTAACACTGATCCCCGCGGAACTCCACATTTAATTGTGTCACTGTTTGAGATTGCTGTATTAAATTTTACTATTTTTTTTACGGATGGACGGATCAATATTTTCAAAGGTGCTGAAATTTTATTTTTAATTAATTTGCCTCAAATAGACAACGCACCTGATTCCGACAGGGTGGACTTGCTGTCAGAACTTGAGGTGATGAAAAACCTGAAGCCTCATCCACACGTGATCAAGTTGATGGGATGTGTTACTGAGTCGGGTGAGAAAAATGCTTTTAAAATAATATTACAGTTACATTTAAAATAAATAAACAGGACTCGCCCACTGAATATTTATCGTGTCTAGTTGTTGCTAGTTTTTAACTTCACATAGCTGCTATGTAATTCCTCTATTCGTTAACTTTAACAACGGGGAAGTAGCAG